TCCATACGTTATCCATTTACAGAAAGGTTTAAAAGGAAACAAATGCTTATAATAGTCGAGAAGATAGTTGTTCAGCAGACCTGAATTGAAGCTCATCCTGAAACAATAACGAACTCTTTCAGTTCAGTAAAGCCACATTTTTCAAGCAGACGTTTCTCATTAGTCTAAAGAGTGTTCTAAAAAGACAAGACTTTCAAAACTTCCCAGGGATACAAAAGTTTTTTTCTGAATATGTGTAAACATCCGTGAAGATTTTTGAAAAAAAAAAAAAAGATTTTAGAAGTCGTCTTATAACTTTGTTCCAACACGGGACATATTTTCATACGCAAATTAGGTGGTGCATATAAGAAGTGTCTTCCAGCTGGACAAAGCAACGGCAGTACTTATTTTGGAAGTCATTTGTATCTGTTAAGAATGCAAAAAAAACAAATTAATTTACTTTTCCAGATGGATTAAAGTGGTATGATTTACAAATTAGATAACTTTTGGAGCAGACATTTAAAATACTATTCAGTTAATAATTACAGCGTATTAATTCAACAAGAAAAGATTAAAAACACCCACAGTTTCTAAAACATTTTTTAGTTGTTTTAAAAGAAAATTTCAGCAGAAGCATACAAAAAGTATCGTTTTTCTAGGCAAAACGTTCAAAAATGAGAGCAACTTGAGTAAAAAAAAATATCTGAGAAAAAAAGCTACGCACAATTGGAAGGTGGGCGAAGGAAGATAAAACAAAAAACTAAATAAACAAACACCACCCGACAACTATACTTTCTAATACACACTGGTTGCCTAATTTTCTCAAAACCTGGAGGAATGTTGGCAAAAAAACTAGTAAAAAACCTTTATTGAGTAAATTTTATTAGTGAAAAAACTGATGAAACTAAGTGTCGCTTAAGCAAATATTGCAGAAGGAGAACAAGGAAGCAGTACAGTGGTACAGATTTAATGGATTATGAAGGAATGGCCAAAAGGGAGGAGAAAAATATTTACTAGTACGGATATCTACTAATACAGAACTCCCCTGATAACATCATCCGCAGATAGTGCTGGAAATGCTGGAAATAACAGTAAATTGGTAACAACCCATCCACTCTTCCTTCAGCTAATCAGATATGTACCTTAACTATGCATCAACACGACAGACGAAGTCTTCAGAGCTCATTTGGAAAATTTTAACTGCGCGCCATTTTCCCGCCAAAATAGAAGAAAAAATTTTTGTACATTTGATTTTTAAATACCATTAAACTTCCTTCACCGCCTTCCTTTATTGCACTTTTTAGAGAGATCAGACTTTTTGAGGAGGTAATTTTCGATATTGTTGTTGTTTTTTTTATGTTTTCTAAAGTCACTTATCTCCTGTTTTGTAATTTTTCTAAAAATACATTTTATTAGAGCTCGTTCTTACGCTGAACTTATGACCGCACTTTGAGGTAAAGAAATTAATTACTCCAAGTCCTGCATTTTTTTACCACTGTTGAAGGAGTTTTGGTTGCTTCCTTTTTTTCTTCGTCATGGTTCGCTGGAAAGGGCAAAATATGAAAAAAAATTACCTTAACTGAACTTGTTGT